CCGGAATTTGATGAAAGGGGCAGAGATAAAACTGAATAAAACCTGACTGGATAAACCCTGGTACATTATACTGACCACAGAGAAAAAAGTAGATGCAGCTACGTTTTTTTTTTTTAATACAGTAGACTCCGGCAAAGACGGCACTCTTGGGACCAGAGAATTTGTGACGGCTTACGCGAATGTCGGCTTCTGCTGAAAGACGTCATTTTGCCGACTTACACAAACACACAAATTGAATCACGGAGTGAAAAAAAATAGATTGAATTAATGGCCTATGGGCATCTGTATCTGGATCATGCAAACAAGGTTCATGGCTAAAATTCAAAGGCTTTGATTTACCCTGGTTTATTTCTACATCCATGCTTGATTCCAGCAAATATATCCTCAATGTTTATCATCACAAACAGGCTGTGGTATTAATCACAGAAAGTCATGCATGTACGTGTACGTACGAAGCAAGGACAGCGCAGCCGGCACAATACATGTATACAGATCTCTTGCATACTGTACATCCTTGTACATGTAGTGTACATTGAGCACGTGCGTACGTGTACAGTCATGTGCATGGTACTGGTACAATAAGGAGACCCCCAAAATTAAAAGAGCGCATGCTTGCAGTCGAGAGGGGGTACTGGTATTGATGTGCTATCAGGAAAACCGAACGACGCACACGTACAGACTGTGCATGAAACAGTGTACATGTACATGTATAGTACGTGCTGGCCGACCATAAATCACAGGACGTGCATGTCAGTTAGCAGTATGTGGGACTTTTCACTTGACACTTTTTGCAAACCGCAGAGCACGATGCCGACTTATACAGAGGAATTTGTGTGGTTTTGAGGAAATGGAACTGAAAGTAACACGCCGATATAGGCGAAATGGCGGCTTACAAAGGCCGGCTTAGAAATGAAAATGTCAACGGAAATACATTAGAGACAATCGGGACTTTCGTCAGACAGCCGATTTAAGCGATATGACAGTTTGTACGATGTCGGTTTAGCCGGAGTTTACTGTATACAGGCATGCAACTTTTCCGCGGATTCGCGGATTTCCGCGTTTTTTTTAAATCCGGCCGTGAAAAAATAAATATCCGCATTTTCGCCTTGTGTCAGTCTGCAGCGCCCGTGGAATCTTCCCGATATTGCGACTTCGCTCGCGCACAAAAATAATTTTGAAGTATATCGTCTGGCTACGCGTTTTGTGTACGTAAAATGGAATGAAAAAAGTGCAGGACACAGACTCCATACCCGTGCGAGTTATCCAGCATGTCGCACTGTAGCGCCCTTTATCGATTTTAAGCTGATAGTCTGGTTCCGCATTTTTTTCTCACGTTAATGAACGCGTAGGGATACGGATACTATACTACTGCACGCGCTGGATATAACTACGTTGGAAAAACGTATTGGAATTTGGAACATCGATCGAAATATTAAATGTACGTACGTGTGTCAAAATGACTTCAAAAGGAAGGGCATCATCGAACGAGAAAAAGGACAAGAGTATATCAAAACTGTTGATAATGGCATCAAAAATTCTTGGAAATGGGACTGGTTGGAAAGAGAAGTGGATCGAGTTCCTCTTAACAAAGCTGTCTGAAAACTTGATCGGCCAGGCATGGCGTATTGCTTGGTGTGCAAGAAGGAGATGAATTACGGCAGACACGGATTAGTAACGCTGCAAAGTGACGAAACATCGTGAACTAAATCAGCTACGAAAAACGAACTACCGTCTCCAAGGTAAGATATGGAATATTATCGGCCCAAATTTACATTAAACAATTATATTTTTGGTAAATTTTGAGATTGATTTTTTTTTTATGTGACTGTGAATTATGATTTTTTTTTAATAGGGATAAGGGGGAATTTTTTTTGTACAAATGTTTTGTTGATGTTTTCTTCATGTGCTATGTTTTAAGTTTTTGGCTCATTCAGTTTCAGAACAAAATAGTGGTGTTGTTTTATCATTTCAAATTTTTTTAGGGCCTATCTTTTAATTATTTTTGGAAGAAATGCTGCAACCTGACGCCACTTTTTTCTTCATATATCATCTCAATGAAGGTCATTCATTGCAAAAATGATGATGAAACATGAATTTAGGACCAAGTTATATTTCCTGACACTCCATAGACTTTGTACACAATCGCGGAAGTGGCGTCAGGTTGCAACATTTATTTATTATTTTTTTTATAAGAATAGGCCTAAATACCGGTAACTTATCACTCCACACGCCCCTTACCTTTTCCTTATACATTTATTTGATTTTTTCCTTTCACTTCTTTGCAGAAGTAGACAATGCTGCATCAAAGTCGCCTTATGGTCTGCATCCATTTTTCAAGAATGTTGTTTCTCCGGCCTCATCTGTTGCGAAGATGCCACAGCCGCACACGCCGCTGAGTGATCGGGTTGCTGCCACATCTGATACTGTTGTTGCCTTCATGGCAGAAAACAACTTACCCTTCACAATGGCCCCCAAGCTGTGCCAGTTTGCAAAAGAAATAAGCCGAGACAAGAAGGTGCTAGATAATCTGAAAATGAGCACATACCGCTGCATATCAGATAGAGTTTGGAGTCGCCAAAACTATGGAAGAAGAAATCATTTCAGATCTCCAGTCTGCATACTTTTCTTTGAACAGCAAGACATTCCATCGTGTTCTCAGTATCCTTGTGAGCTACTACTCATCATCACAGAAAAAAAGTTGATGTGAAACACCTTGCGTCAGTTTCACTTGTGAAAGTCAACAGCGAATCCATCTGTCTGGCAAATGACGATATCTTCACAAGAAAAAACATCCCATGGAAGAATCTTGTCTCCGTCTTGATGGATTTTTGTGCAGTGATGAGGGGCAGCAAGACTGGTGTTGAGGTTCGTCTCAGGGAGAAAGCCCCACATCTGCTTGATGTGGACGGTGATTCTTGTCATCACGCGCATAATGCTGCAAAGAAGTTCTGTTCGCACTTCAACAATGAAGTGGAGCATCTCTTCCGGAACATCCATAATGATCTGCAGTATTCAGCTGACCTGAGGAAGCATCTAGAAGAACTATAAGAGTAGTGCCTCAAGAGTATGCCTCTCATCGCTAGCTGTCGATATACAACATCACTGTTGATGGCAAACGCATGATGGACCCCTTGCTGGTGATGTATTATGGGTTTCTAAAGGGAGAAGACAAGAAGTTGTACCTAGATTTCATCACCAACATCTACAAGCAGCGCTCTGTCAACGCCTCAGCGAAGAAGCGCATTGGTGAGATTCATGCCGTTCTCCAATCCAAAAAATGACAGATGACGGTAAAAAAAAAAGCAACGAATCTGTGAGAAGCTGTTCTACCGGTCCAAAAACACGAAACTCATCATGAATGTGTACATCTCCGTCCTGCCCATGCTGAAATCCTACACAGTACTGTTTCAAACCAAAGATCCACTGGTTCACAAGTTGCATGAGAAACAGAAGCAGCTTGTGAGAGAGTTTCTGTGTGAATATACTCAAAAGCCTGAGGCCTTCACTGATACATCAGTAACCAAGCTGAAAGTTGATCAAACGATGATTTTCTTGGGAGGAACACAGAAGCAATTCTGAAAGGCCTCACTCAAGAGGATGGCACCTTGTTCAGGAGGAATGTGCTTGAGGCATATGTGGACTGTCCATCAGCCCTCCTGAACAAGATGCCTCTGAGGAACAAATGTCTCCGACTGTTGTCAGCAATTGATCCTGAGACAAAGGGAACCACACGCACCTTGTCATACATGAAGGAACTGCCTGGTGCTTTGAAGAATGTGCTCTCTGATCAGGAGCTGGATGAATATGACAAAGACGTCAGAAAGTCCCATGCAGATGGATCGCTGCCCCCACTGAGTGAAGGACAACGTATAGATCACTGGTGGGCAAAAGTTCTGGCCTCTGGCAAGTACAACGTGCTCAGCAAAATGGTTATGGCTGCACTGAGTATATTCAGTGGCCCTCAGGTGGAGAGTTCATTTAGTGTAATGAGCAAATCATGCAATCCAAGTCTTCAAGGCTTCAAGTACATGTAGAAACCTTAAGTGCTCTGCAAACCGTTAAATACTCCATACTAGCTAGCCACAAACCATCTCTTGCCCAATTTTTGAAGAAGGACTTTCTTCATGAGTCAGTCAACAAATCTCTTGTAGCCAACATGCGGATGGCAAGAGCAGAATCGCACAGACATCTTGCTGAGCAAAGAGCATCTGCCAAGCACCCACTTCAACATGCCAAGCCCCCAGCTTCGAAAAAAAGGACGCTAGAGGTTGCTGCCAAGGTTGCCAAGAAAGCCAGACTAACTCACATGGAGAAGCTGAAAACATCTAGAAGAATTCATTAGTTGGAGATATCGAGGTCACAACTATGTTTTATACTTCACAGAATAAAAGGTAAAAAAGAATCACAAACTTGAAGCATTTTGTGTATTTTTTAATGAAAAATATGCCATCAAAAAAGCTGGAAATGTGTCAGTCAGCTTTCCATCAAAGTTTTCAAAAACTGCTTAGAATGCACCACAGAGCATTTATATTTCAAAATTTTTTCGGGGCCCTAAGGCGGGCCCGGACCCCCGCCGTAAAGACTTCGCGCTACGCGCTCGCAGTTTCAGGTCGAACAGTTTCCTCTTTTTTAAAAATTGAAGAGTTCCATGCCTGTGTATGTGTTAAAATATTGGTTAGAAGCCATGCTTGTTTAATAAATTACCAGAAAATCTGGTAAATTTTTTGGGTCTTGCACAAAAAAATTTGCAAATAAGTCTTGCATTAATTTTTGGGTGTTGGACGAAAAAGGGGTTTTTGAATTAATTCCACTTTGGCTATCTACACTTCAGGGTCAATCAATGAAACGATTAACACTTTAAAAAAAAAAAAAAAAAAGGTCTGTGACGTGGGTCACAATACCGGTAGATAGTTTGGCCAGCATGGCTGACCACCTTCTCTGCCAATGGGTAAGCATGCAAATGTTCATGTGGATTGTACATCTATGCTTAATAGGCTTACCTTGCTGCAAACATGCATCTCTTGCTGCGATAGAGTTTGTGATTGATGATCTGGTAGTGATTACCTATTCCTCTTCCAAGGGCTTTTTTGAACTGCTCTTGTGTGATGCCACCCTTTTCTCTCCAAACTGACAAATCCTTCTCAATCACACTGAAAGACACAGTAAATGAACATTTAAATCAGACTATTATTCACACCATTGAGCTTGGAACACAAGGAGTTCAAACTTCCCGGGTCAAAAAATGTAGCCAACTGATGGTAGCATTATACACAGCGACCAACCAGTGAGAACATAAAACATTTCCAGCTCAAGGTCATGTACACTGTTTTTGCACTTAATCCGGCAATGGGGATCAGGTCCTGCAAATGTAACAAAACCACAGGGAAGCTAACTGCAAGTAAAATACAGGTATGCTGCGTATAAAACGTATACTCGATCTCGATCCTGCTTCGATCCACCATTTACAATGGAGGGCAGGTCTTTGAGTGCAAAATGGCCATTTTTACAAGTGATACAATCAGTGCAAAAACTTAGATTTTCATTCTATGTTTGTCTAATATTACAGTAAACCGAACTGGATGCTTTATTTAATATTATATTTAAAATTTGTCCACACTTGTCAATGAATAACATACTGGTAGCTTTCACTAACGTAGAAGCCAAAGTTGGTGTGAAGAAACAAGGAAAGAGAAAACCAATTTGTTCAGCAGGTGTGGCTGGTTTGAAGTCATGGTTAAATGATCAGGTGATATTTCTTTATAAGTATTGTATTTGTATTGATACAGCTAAGTCAATGGGATAAGGAAATTGTGTAAAGCATGGCTGAGATTTGTCGTGCACATAACGCCATATTTAATATGTCGAAAGTGATTATTAGAGCAATGCAGCACAGAATGCTTTGGTCTAAGGATGTGACGTTTACACGTTAGAGTGAAAACAATTCTAAATCCAGTTACAAATTTTACATTAAATGTTTAAAGGAAACCCGAATAATAAGAAAGGGACCTGCATTTACCGTTCACACAGTCTTTTTTTGAGTTAATGCTACATAACACAAATAATGAACGATGTTTTCAAACCTATTTAATATACAAAACCTTAAAAGCACTTCAGTTCTTGATTACTTTCGAAACACACAATTTAGATTGCATTTTTTCAATGACTACCATTGTTGATTTATCATGTCAATCACACCGGTATGTAGACATAATGATCGAGTATGCATCAGCCTTTGTGAATGGCTAAACGTTTAAAGCTACTGGTAGAGTCCCTCATTTGCAGCTATCCAAAAAGTAACTGACGAAACTATTGTTGAAAGTATACTCAGTTTAAAGATAGTAATGGTACTAAACTCCCTGTGAAATTATTTGTTCTCGCAAAATATGATAAAAAGATTAAGGCAGCCCGAGGGTTGAATTACATCAAAATGAACAAATATTCAAATAAACATACACATAAAACATTAAAAATAACAGCCCCATCAGCCAGAGTCAAGTTATCATCCATTATCAAGTCATCAACCTTTAACTCACCACAGTGACCTTGACCTTTGACTGAACTAATCCCAACTTGCCTGTACCCAAGGGCCTACCGAAGTTAGACACCCAAACCTCATTTCTAACTGAAGTTTCATCCAGAAACAATTTACCTTTGAACTCACCACATTGACCTTGAACTTTGACCTTTTGACCCCAAAACCAATTACAACTTGCCTAATCCCAAGGGCAATCCCCTAATGAAGTTACAATCCAAACCAATATTTCTAACTCAAGTTATCATCTGCATATAACAACAGACGGACGCCGTAGGCGATGACAATACCCCTCAAGCCGCTTGGCTGAGGGGTAAACAAAACCACTAAACCAAACCATATAAAATATATGCATATTTGTAAGTAAAAGTAGCGTCAAACAATTAAAAGACAAAACAAGACAAGAACAAACAGCACAAGTCACACTACAAGGATAAAAGCCACTGGATAATGAATAAAACCACTCGATTAACCCTAACCCACCTCACTCCTCCAAAATCCTCCTGGCGGTTTTGGAGGATTCTAGAGGATTGAGGATGAATGGTGATTGAATCAAATGAGGATTCTGGAGGATTGAGGATGAATGGTGATTGAAGCACATGAGGATTTTGGAGGATTGAGGATGAATGGTGAATGAAGCACAAGAGGATTTTGGAGGATTGAGGATGAATGCATTTTGAGGCAGGACTGTCTGATGATTTTGAAGGATTTGGCGTTGGTTATCCTTCATTTAAACACGAGTGCAAAGTTTTGGGATGAGGAGGATTTTGGAGGATTGAGGATTAATGCATTTTGAGGCTGGACTGTCTGACAATTTTGAAAAATTTAGGCGGAGTTGAAAAATTTTGGAGGATTTTGGAGGATTGAGGATGGTTGTAAGCAACAAGGGCCTAGGGGGTTAGGGTTAAAATATATACAGTCAGCTCTTTTCAATACAAACTTTGCTGAGACGAATTCCGGTCATAGCTAACATAAAGCCTCGGTCTAACTGTGCATTCATGTGCAAATTGAACTGGACTGATACTTCTCTTGACACAAAATTCGTTATTGCTGAGTTTGTATCAACAGGAATCGACTGGATAGCCTATTGATTTAATAATTTGGTTTTGTATCTGTTGGTACATCTAAGGATTGTGAGGAGATGGGAATTTCCGAGATTGTTATTTTTGCAGGGGGAGCCATTCACAAAATCTATTAGAATCCAGAAGTGAAATTTAGGGTAAACATCTCCAGTCTTTTGGATAATGGGGGATTCCTAAATCACTGCAAATCTCATCATAACGGTATGTTCGGTTCATACAGTAATCATAAGTAAGGATGATGCGGAACGCTTTCTTTTGCATTTTCTCTAAACATTCAAGTTGTTCCTGGTAAGACCAGAAAACCACACCTGGGAAGAATATTCTACAGCAGGCCTGATGTACTGAATACGGTTCTAAGGTCACACACAAGTATATTGCAACGTTTTAGTTGTCGTAAAAAAAAAAGTTTACGGTTAAATGATTTACACGCAGAGTTAACTTGGGCATCCCATTTAAGATTATCTTGGACATGGACAGCAAGGAGTTTAAGACAATTACTTTGGTTGTTAGGTGAATTACCGATGTGCAGAACCAGTGTAACAGGAGTGCGTTGGAAACAAATAGTCATAAAAATGTACTTACATGTAGCCGGATTCAACAACATGTTGCTGTTAGACTATTATGTTGCAGACGGTCAAGTATATTTTGCATGATAGTTGTTTCATCCACATTATCAAATGGTAAAAACAAATCATATCTTCAACAAATTTGTGACTCTGGCATCAACAGGCTTAGTCTAACCCCCTAGGCCCTTTTTGCTAAGAACCATCCTCAATCCTCCAAAATCCTCCAAAATTTTTCAACTCCGCCTAAATTTTTCAAAATTGTCAGACAGTCCTGCCTCAAAATGCATTCATCGTCAATCCTCCAAAATCCTCCTCATCCCAAAATTTTGCACTGGTGTTTAAATGAAGGATAACCAACGCCAAATCCTTCAAAATCATCCGACAGTCCTGCCTCAAAATGCATTCATCCTCAATCCTCCAAAATCCTCTTGTGCTTCATTCACCATTCATCCTCAATCCTCCAAAATCCTCATATGCTTCAATCACCATTCATCCTCAATCCTCCAGAATCCTCATTTGATTCAATCACCATTCATCCTCAATCCTCCAGAATCCTCCAAAACCGCCAGGAGGATTTTGGAGGAGTGAGGTGGGTTAGGGTTAATCATAGCTAAAAATGCTATAGATCCCATTTTTGTGCCCTGCGGAACACCTACATTGTTTGTTGCCCAGTCAGATAAAGGTTCCACCATTACGGACACACTGTGAGCGCTTGGATAAAAAAAAACTACAAATCCAGGGGATGAATTGGTGACTGACTCTATCAAAAGCCTTTGAAAAATGACAACTACAACCACACCGGATTGTTTAGGTTTGTCAGTTTCTCTACACACATCATCAAGCAGTGCTACCAGGCAGTGGGTGGTTGAGGATCCCTTGTGAACCAAACTGGCATGTGTCTAGTGATGGACTAATATCATTCATTATCCAATTAACTACAAAATCTTCAAACAACTTTACAAAAACAAAAACAAGAAATAGGTTGTAATTGTTCAATGTTGAGGGGGGGGGGGACTTTGGAACTTGGACGGTAATGGCTCTTTTCAGGACCCCACCTTCACGCGGAGAGCAGTTAAAACATTTTTGTGCATCTTCCCCACAGCTTCAAGTTATTTATTTCAAACTTTATTCATTCGCCAGATACCGAATTGATTTGGGCAAGTTGGCATAAGTTGTGGCGCTAACGGGCCCAAATGAAACATATCAAACACATAATGGACTCCCAGGTCCTGTACATGTACCGGTACGACAATTACCATTTGGCTCCCAGGCCAACCATTAATGATTGGGCACGCATGGCCAAGTCCACATCTGTGGGGGACAGCCATAGTTGCGCTATGTTAATACAGCACATCCAACCCTGGGTCGTACTACAAAGTTCAAATCACATTGTATTACTAAAAACATCAATATCAGTAACACTATTACAGTAGACATTTTATCATCAAATAAATGATCAAATGCTTTATAATTTATTCTCAGACTTTCTCAGTTGGAGTTTTAATTTAATCATGTATAAAAACAATGCCTAAGAAATTGCCACAGACTCACACTTGTCACACATCAAATTCATTGACTGAGTGAATACAGTTCACAATAAGAGATAAGCTGTGATGCATACAATCTACTTACAAGCTTTTGCTATTGAAGTCCCCTTGTAGAATTCCACTACACAGGGACACACTGTGCACTGAGTTGTCAAACTTTTTCATGAACATGATCAATATGCATTACCAGGTGGTAGTGTATGTAAGCTACATGTATGTATGGTTGCAGACCAGTAAATCGGTCTGAAATTGCCTACGCCGGCCAAATCACGATTTGCATGCCCTCAAAATCTTCAGTATTTGAGCATGCTGTGGGCCATGAACTTGAGTGTTTGTAAAAAATAGGGGTGGACGCCGTGCACAGGACTGTGAGTTTGTAGTTCCGTTCAATTTCGATGAAATTGGGGCCCTTAAAGCGCTCTATTTTGCAACATTTGGAGTGTAGGTATCGTTTTTTTAAAATGGCGATGGGCTTCAGGACTATTTTCAGGGGTGATCATCTTCGGATGGAAATTTCTCCTAAAAGTCATCAGTTGACCCCCAGAAAATTGAAAAGAAAATGAAAGATGATGAAATAGGCTTTAATTTGATGTGTGTCTCGAACACCTTGGAGAGTTGTGAGTATTTTTCCCGAATTTCTGAAGTGGGAGCATTTACTATTGGGGTCTATGGAAGTTTATTTACTGGTCTGCAACCTATAATTTCTTCTTCTTCTGGCTTCTTCCATCGTTTGTTGTCAAACGTGTGCACATGCGCTTTACATTCCAGGACAGTGGTTTTTCGGGGGGGGGGGGGGGGGGGGCAGCATTTCAAAAGGGGTCACCAATGGGAGTAACTTACAAGAAATTCCTAAAACACAACCCGATCAACTCCTGGCTATAATTACATCTCATGCGGTTGAGCGCCTTCGATGACTTATCAGTATAGTTGGTTTCCCGGATTTACGATTGTATATAGGCGTTCTGGTTCTGGCATGAACTGCACTTCACGTTGGCTTGTGCCACTGAGTGGACACCCATTTAAATTAGACATAAAAAGGGTCATAGGAAAAGTAACCTCGTAATGCAGTCTGTAAGTGGGAATCCAATCTTCAGGTTGGCATGAGATAGCAAGCTTGGGGCCAAAAATACGTTCTCATTTTTCTCAACGAGTTTTGAGTTTTCGTAGCCGTAGGCTACCCGAGAGTTACGTGAGCGGGAAGAAAAAGGCTGGAAAACTGATGTGGATATTCAATGATGCGAAGGTTTAATTAATCCCAGACACGTGGCATTGTTAAGTTGGCAAATTAGATAAAGCAAAGTTTGTGTTAATAATTATCCGCCGTAGGCTGTAACATATAAGGACCCGTGGTGCGAAATCAGACCAGCACGACCCAAATTATTGGGTAATGTGTATATTATTACTTTACTAGATTTTGGGTTTATTCAAGGATTTAGTGGAGAACAGTATTTAGTTGATCACATGTCTTAAGGGTTTCATACAGCCTCCAGTAAATTACCAGTCGGCCACAACAGTACTGGTTCACCAGGCCACCAAAAAAAAAAAAAAAAAAAAAAAGAAAATGGAGGTATGGGTGTTTGGATGGTTTGAGCCCAGGGAGAGAGACGTGAGATGGTCCATTTGTCAAATTTTGAGTGGTAGGCCAAGGGTCAGCACAAACGGACGAGCCACTATCGCCGGGGGTGCTGGCTCACGTCCATTATCCTTGGAATGATGGATCTCAACCAATCTCCCTCCATGGGCTCTTGTGCTGCGGATAAGTGATTTATCCGCAGCGTTTATCAGCTTGCGAAAAGCGATGGCGCTTCTAAGTGTGAGAAGCGATTGCGCTTATTTTTGCGACAAGCGACTGCGCTTCTAAATGTAGGGACATCTATAGTCCCCTGGGACTTGTGAGAGGCGATTGCGTTTCTAACTGCACGTACGGATATCCGTAGTCCATTGGGACTTTTGGAGAAGCGATTGCGCTTCTAACTGGATGGATATCCGTAGTCCATTGGGACTTGTGAGAAGTGATTGCGCTTCTAAATTAGTGTAGGGATAGCCGTATAGTCCCTTGGGACTTGGGTGAAGCAGTTGCGCTTCTAGGTGTAGGGATATTCGTAGTATTGGAATGTTATAACCGTTAGCATGTAAGTGGTAACTATGGGAATTTATTTAGCCATGCTGGTAGTTACATGGACCTGTTAATTATTAGAACTGGTAGCAGGTAAATTGTACATGTGATTGTTAAACCGTGCTTGTTGGACTGTTTCAAGCGAATAAATTATTGCCGAGTGACCACAGTGCTTTTCTACGGTGTGATTCTCTTCACAAGGACATTTGCTGGGGTGATTGTACTGGGGATCAGTGTGTTGGTGCTGTGCACAATGATTGGATGGCATGCAGCAGGTGCGGTTGAAATCAAAGAAATGTGGGGTATTTATTCCGATGTTTCCTCCTTTTTGCGACAAAACAAATGGCTACAAAATGTTAAGTTTGAATAACTGCTTCACAAAATCCAATCGGATACTGGAATTCAAACTAAATCTTGGAGAATACCTAGAGATTAAAATTCCATACCGACTCTGTCATTATTTAGGTACTGCAGCAACATCACTCGGTATTGTTCGAGATTAAAAAAATACTGTGACTTTTCAGGATTACCAAAATACTGTGCATCCCTAATGTACATACCTGTCATGACATGTGCAAGAATCTTGCTCACAGTCCTTATACTGCATTACAGCCGAGCTTATTGCATCAAGGTAGGGTTGCCATTTTGCTTCTGAAAATGTAAGAATTAAAATTCAGTTATCCTGGAATGTTACAATCGCACCTTGGGATATTTAAATTGAAGTCACGATTGACGTGTCACTGCTGCCGCTCTCCAGCAAACAACCATCAGTATGGTCTTGTGGTGTGCATATTTGAATAATTTAGTATTTGATAATTCAAACTTGGATTTAATTGAATATTCAAATATTTGAAAAATTGCATGCAGTGTGTAAATATGCATTGTACTTTCTGCATAGACTAAGCGAAACCCAGACTTGGGCCAAGTCTATGTCACTCTAAAGAAATTTTATAAAAAATGGGATGGGACCCAATACGAAGGTGTACAATTTTTGGTTTATCAGAATTTTTGAAAGGTAAATTCCTCTGAAACGGGTTTGCTCCATCAAACAAATGCACATATGTTGTTGTTCCGACGGGTTGACGGCTGTTTCATGTCTGCAGCCAAACGCTTGTGATGCAGTAGCGCATCTGTCAGCTTGGTTCAGGATTTCTTGTACACTTAACCATTATTGGCGCAGCGCGATTAGAGGACTGGAAACTTGTCTAAAACGTTGTCTATTTGGCTGTGACATGATACATATAAAACAACTGTCAACAACTCGGAACAACTGGTGCCCTGCACGAATCTCAGTGGTGCCTTAGCAGATATCATCATATGCACATGCGTTCGGTTACCTCAAGGGTTCTCACCATTTTGTAAGTAAAGGATTCAGGGTACTGTGCATGACTTTTTAGAAATGTGATAAACCACAAATTGTTTATGTCCATATCAATTCCTATTTTTGTCTCAAATTTCTTTGGAATGACAGATCCTGTGCAAGCATGGATTTACAGATAGCCTCATATGTGAGTACATAACATGCAGATGCTCATAAAACATTTCGGATGTTGATCAAGTGTTTAGACGCAGCTATGTTACGTGGCGGTTTATACATGTACCGCCATGTTTACAGATCTAGCACCCCAGTAACTGGATCTAGAGATAATCAAGTGAAAAATACAGTCCCAATTTAGATTTTGTTAACACGGCCTTTCCTCAACACGACTCTTGTGCGCGCGCTATTTTGAGAAATAAGTTGAAGTTTTCATGGATCTCTTCTTTTGATTAATACTGCCCTCTTGTGTATTCTAAGTCAATAAATACCACCCTCTATTGATATGAGAAGCCCCACAGCTTTTTTTTCTGAATCAAAATCGGTCAAGAAATGAAAAAATCATGTATGTTTTGCCGTTTTTGACCCAAAATTTAGTAAATTTCTCATTTTGTAAGAGGCTAGAGATCCAGAAAATTGGAGGGGGGGGGGATTTCTTGAGACCTGTATTATAAGATTCCTTGTTTCTTTTTGTGTAAGAAAATGTGGATGTTGTTCCTGCGCATGAGTGTGCCTTGGGCCAAATCAGCGTTTGTAAAGGCGAGTGACAATTGATGATAACTGACATTCCGTGACGCCCTGATTATGACCAGGTGCAATTCGCCAGCCGCATGTGCGGTTCCTTTAATGATGATAATATACCAACATGACCAATTTTTCATAAATAAAACTTATGTCCATTTATGACCAACAGATATAAAATATAGGAAGTTGATCATCATCATTATTTTTTTTAATTAATAAAAAAATATCAATGAAATCCTCATGAATACAATATGGGAACTACTGATACTAGAGTGTCTGATTGATAGGGGAAGCAGGTTGGCCGGGGTGGGGTGTCCAAGTTTGGGGTGGGGTGAGCCGGGTGGGGTGTTGAGGCAGGGGACCAGGTGGGGGTGACAAGGAGTGTGGATGTGGGGTCTGAGATGGGGTGGGGTTGTTTGGGTGAGGTGGGCCGGGGAGGGGTGTGGTCTGTGGGGTGGGGATGATACTGAATGGGGTAGAGGTACGTGGGTTGTGTTGAGGTGGTGGGGTAGGGTGATACTGATAGGTGGGTGGAAGTGGGGTGGGGGTGTGTGGGGTGGGATGTGGTGGGGTGATTCTGATAGGGGTGTGGAAGTGGGGTGGGGGTGTGTGGGGTGGGATGGGTGGGGTGGGATGTGATGGGGTGATTCTGATAGGGGTGTGGAAGTGGGGTGGAGGTGGGTTGTGTTGGGGTGGGATGTTAAGGGGTGGGGTGATGGTGGAAGTAGGGTGGAGATGGGTTGGGTTGGGTTGGGTTAGGATGGGTGGGGTGGGGGTGATACTGATAGGGGTGGGAAGTGGGGTTAGGGTATTATTCAAGTCCTTGAATAAGAGCCCTTGGGATTGTACTCGCATGTAATTATTTATAAAAATGGAAATGTTGTAAAACATGTTTGTGTTCCATTTCTTTTATACCGATGAGATTAGTCTTTCTGGATCAGCGATTCTTATGATTCCGTGTTAAATAATGTCAGGAGTGGATATGGCAATATCATTTGCACCATTGTCTTTCTCACATCAAAAGCTTTAATATGATGCAAAGTTTGACTACTGGTATATTTGAACTTAAAGGAAATGTACAACATTTGTTTTTGCTGCAGTTTCCAGAAATAAATGGATTTGGAAGATTAGAATGTTATAGCAAATATTGTTGAACTGACTTGTTAATAATAATAATACTACTACTTATTACCCTGGATTGGACATTTAGGAGACATCCCGAAAGACTTGTGCACAAAATTTGTCAAACTTAAATGTGCCCTAACCCAATATTCCCTTGTCCTTTTTCCACGAATTTCGGTATGTTTACTAAAAAGACCACAAGCAACAAATGCATGTACCGGTATAACCTAATTGCGACAATAAAATGGTGCCTCTAAAGGGGGCTGTGACAGAGAGACATGAAAATGTCTCCCTAATGACCAATGTCTCCCATCGTGCAAAGAAATTACAATAACGTGTCTCCTTAGTGGTACCTTTACACGTAAAATAATAACCATATTTATTTAGCGCCTTTTTCTAAAAGATACAAAGCGCTGAGGGAGAATGCAACCAAAGACAGATAAATTAAATATATGAACATACATGTATGAGACCCATTATGTAGCACCTTTTTGCTAGGTGCTGCAACAAGTGTTACTGGGATCTTTAAGGTGCATCACACAACACACGGGACCTACGACTTTACGTCCCATGCGAAGGAGGAAGCAATAATGGTAAAGTGCCTTGCTCAAGAGCACAAGCACCATGTTCCCATATTCAGGATTCTAACCCATGTACCACGGCACACGAGTCGAACACCATAACCCCTTTAATCACAGCACCCCAACTTGTTTCACGTTTTGGGCTTGTGGATGCTGGAAAAACCAAGAAAGCCAATATGTTTTTGTAGTCTAGTTCCCTGACCCCCTAAGATGAAACAAAGCAATTTGTAGACTTTGGGGAACTATAAGGTCAGAGGATCAGTCTGGAAGGCTTGTACTCCTTCACAGGTGTGTAGTCAATTGCAAAGAAAATGCGGACAACTAAATATGAAAAATTAGGAGAAGTTTTTGAACCAGTAAGGTATTTCGTATTAATTTGATCATTTTGTTTTTTGATGTTTGCAAATGTTGTTTCTTCCCTTAAAATAAACTGTGTGCTCATTTAATAAGGGACACAGTCACATTGACTCAAATTTCGACCAGAAGAATCATGGAGTAAGGCGTTTTTGGAGGACATAACTCCTTAAGCAAAGCACCTGTGGCAATATCGTTTGTATCAGTGTCTTTCTCAAATCAAGAGCGTTAATATGATGTAAAGTTTGACTTTATTTGAACTTAAAATAAACAGTATGCTAATATAATAAGGGAAACAGCCACGTTTACTGAAATGACGACCAGAAGAGTTCATGAAGTATTGCGTCTTCGGGAGGGCAAAACTCCTGATGGGAACCTTTTTGACATTTACAATGCATCATGGGAGTGGATGACAAACATTGCCCGAAATTTATGTGCAAGTCTATGTCACGGCAATGATCGAGTTCGGCAATGAAATTTTCACACACTGTTTCTGTAAAGGTACAAAGAGAATAACTACCTTTTGGTTTGGTAAACATGTGAGTAATTCAGGAGGAATCGGTGGGGATTCCCTTCCAAATTGGATGACCGTAAAATCCCTCGATCGGCTGTGTGTGCGGTGTGCGTGTGGCCGGCCGTGCACAGCTAGCCACGGTGAACCTTCATTGGGGATTTTTTTAAACGAACACGACAAAGGGTGAAAAACAAGATTTCCCATGATATCAATTTGATCCTGAAAAGAAGTTGGATGACAAATATCATTTGAATGTTGATGTCCATGGTTGATTTGTTCCTCTTTCTGTATAAACAGATGTTCCTTACAGCTTCTTGAGGACTTTTTGTAAGTTTCTTTTAATAGGGCAATGTATTTTTTTGTAAAAGGCCCATATTTGCCAGTGTTGTTGTTTGGGTTTTTTTGGAACTGTTTTTTTTTTTTTTTTTCATAGGTTTTATCCATTTCATTTTTTCATCATTTCAATCTTTTTTTATTCTGGAATGTGCATACATTTTGTATATATGTCCTGTTGGAAAATACTAATAAAATATTATGTCAGTCATTTTTAATACTAACGGTTTCCTTTCCTTTCACAAGGCATTTGCTCATTATGCTGCTCCACCATTTTTTATTCCAAATTTATTTGCTGCTTTGTTTTACTGCTGGAATTCTTGATATTTTTTTCCTAATTGAAAGTTGCAGTTCATGTTTAGCAACTACCGGTACCTGCAAGTTGTTCTTATTGCAAATTGTTTGATTTTCTAACTGCAAAATGCTGTTCACAATATCAGAAGCATTTTTTTCTAATTTTCAGCTTAATTTGGCAAATACCTGAATACATGAATGTATTGCCTTATTCGAAGAGTTCGGAATTTAATAGGCTAGGATTTTTGAATTAGGTTGGAAATCGCATTTTTATTGTAACAATCAAGAGATGTAGAACCAGACAAATTAACCCCTTGAATGTACATGTATTCGGAGTCTCTCTCTCTCTCTCTCTCGCTCTATCCGAGGCTAGGAAAATAAGGCAAAAAAAGTG